TGTCTGGTGTTTTCTTGAGCAGATAAGGGCTATGCTGTTTCTAACAGTCTGCTACTTACTGCCTGAGAGTGTTGTTTTCAACGCTTGGTTGTCTGAGCAGGGATGGTAAGAAGCTTGAGATTCCGGCAAATGAAAAGTGTCTTCATGGAAGAAAGTTTTGTGGTTCTTGAACTGTCAGGATGGGAGATAGTTTGATAAAAGATTGGCCTTTGCCCAGCTGCCACAAACTCTCAAGGGCAGGATAACTTGGCAGCAAACAGTTCTTCAGATGATTGTTAGTAAGGTATAGTAAGCAGGGATGACAGTGTTTTAGTTCCACACATGCACTTATAACATTCATGACCATTGTTGTGTAGTTCCTGTGTGCTAGTTTTTAAATATTCTTTATATTATTGATTTATAATTCTTAAAATCACTTTGTAGTGTGAGGATTGATTTTACAGAAGAGATCAGAGAGGTACAGTAACTTGTATGTTACCACACAGCTTGTAAGTAGAAGACTTGGGATTCTTACACAAAACACATCTCTTACTGTATTTTTTTCCAGTGTCATTCTTAGTGGCTTAAAAATAACTTGATATTTCTCCCTTCCCAAAGCAGTACCCAACACTGACTCTTCCCACCTAATTAATGTTTGGTACTTTAGTTCCTGAAAGAGTTATCTGTACCCGTCAGCTCATTCCTCAGCTCCTTTCAGCCTCTCTTGCTTTTGTCTTTCAGCTACAACTGTTCCTATCAAGGCTACCTCCTTATCATTCACAGTGATAGATAGACATTTTCCCTTCTCATCTTGATGCATCAGGACAGGTGACCTTCTCTCCTCTGTTCTGCCTGGTCCTTTTCTCTTTCCTTTAATGGTTCGTTTTCCATCTGCTGTCTCTAGTAGTGCTTCTGTGAATGAGTTCTGAATACTTGTTTGCCTCTCTGGACTCTTTTCCTAAGGTGATTTTAATATTTCTGGAGTGTTAAGCACCACCTGTATTCAGATGACTTCTGAATTTATGCTTCCAACTCAAACATTCCCATGAATTTCCTAACTAGTGTGTTCAACCTTGTACTTGACATCTTTTAGACATTTGAGATGAATGCTTTTCTTTTGATGAGAAGTATTCAGTGCCTTCTCATTACTCCAAAATACCCCATACCCACCCCAAAAAGCAAATACCTTATCATGGCTTATGTATGAGGTATTCTGCATGGCCTGGTGCTCGCTTTATGTAGCAACTCATGTGATGCTACTGTTCATTTCTTGTGCTTTATTTAGGTGCTCCTGTTATCCTTTTCATTCCTGTATGTGCCCAACTCCTTTCAACCCCCATGGTCTTTGCATAGCTTTTTGCTTTGCTAGAAATAATCAGTTTCTTGTGCCTGGTATGGCCATTCCATCTTATCCTTTGAATCAATGTTGTCATCCCCAAGAAGCTGCTGTCCAATTAGGTAATCAGGCATGTGAGCTGCAAGATTTTTGTTTTTGTTGTTCAGCATGTGTTTCCAGCATATACTCTATCACCTTGTGTAGTTACAGTTCAGTGTTCAAAATGAGTAAGCTTACTGACATGTAAAAAAATCTCATTTCTTATTGACTTGACTCAAACCTCAAACTTCATGCTGTTTTTGCACCGAACCTATAAGCAACTTCAATATTAAACAAAATCAGGTGAGAAGCTTGACTAGCTGATGAGCATTTAGAGAGCAGCGTGAAGGTCGGTATGGGCTTAGTTCTTGATCTGTTCCCCAGTTTTGTATTCTCATCTAACTGGACCTAAGTATCTAAGGGCAGTCAGTATCCTGGTCTTGTTCAACTGCACTTATTTCTGTAGGTACTCAAATGTGCTGTCTGGAGCTTAATGAGACACACAGTCTATTTGCATTCTTCTCATAGTTTAGTTCCTTAACCTGAGGTGAGATTTCTTGGGGAGGGCTGGGCTTGTGTTTAGAGCAGCATGGCAGGATGGAAAGGACATTGAACCAGAAGTTGGCTTGGATTTTTGCCCTAGTCCTGATTACTTTGAAAACCAAAACAAAACCCTAAGCCTCAGTTTTCCCACCCATAAAACAAGAAAGTTGGATCACATGATTGCTATGGTTCCTTTTGTGAACCATTGTGAAATAGCTGATTCTTGTAGGAATTATGGTTGCTGATATTTAAAGGAAATAAATTATAGCTTTTGAAGAAACAGACCCTAGTCATTTTTAAATGAAAAATAGTGAAAGCTCCCATAGCTAGTGGAGTGAGTGATACATTCCTTCGAGATTCAGAATCCTTCAAGTTAACCTCCGTTTGACTGCCCCTGACAGACTTAGTTTATTGGACATTGTCCAAGGGGAGAAAAAGAAATTGAGTCAATCGCTTTTGTGTTTTTGATGACCTGACTTCAACCCCTTTAGGAATTAAAAAGGTGACTCAATTGAGAATAATAAGTGTCTCCTTCTAAACTGCAACATTCCAAAAAGAATCATTCATTTTAATGCAAACTTGAATCACTTGGTCCCCCAGAGGACTACTCTTATAGAAAGAAAGAAATGAGGCAAAAATAACTACTTGTGCTCAGGTGTTAGAAAGCTGAGTTGGTCAGGCAGACTCTAAATTATCACCTTTCTGTGAATTTTATCTTCAATCAGTTGGTAACAGCTTGTCTCCCACCTTTTATTAATTATTTCTACTAAAGACTGGCCTTTTAAAATAAATGTTTATCCCACTGGTTCCCAAAGCATACTTGGGGTTGAGTGATAGCTTCTCTTAATTATTCCATGTGAAGAAATTGAAGCTCTGAAAACTAGTTTTAAGAAACTAGCTAAGAGCCAGGTTGAGTTGTGCTTTGCACCAAGCCAGTGAGCAAAGACTCTTTTTTTGAGCTTTTTTAAAAAAATAATTTTTAATGATAATGTGAAGAATTGGACATTGATGGCAGTCACGTTGCAGGTCAAGTCATTTTCGTACATAATCCTTCCTAGGAATCATCCAGCCCTGTCTTCTCTAGTTTCCATTTTGCACATTTGAGGACTAAAGTCAAACCCAAAACAAAATAATGAATCACATTCAGTTGGATCACATAGTAACATCTCACAGAAGCATGACCTTATTTGTGTCTTGGATTTAGAAAACCTGTTGCTTTAAGTATTTTAATAAAAACAGACTTCTTCTCTCCCACTAAGGCACACTTTCCTCCTGGATCACTTTAATTATGTGAGCTGGAATCCTGTTTCTCACATATCTTCAATTCTCAACCTTGTTAAAATTAATCATATAATCCCCCTTTAAAACATAGTATTAAATCACCATAGTAACACAGTATCCAAGCTTTATAGATAAAACATAACAGCCATAAGAAGGTAGCATTTGGTGTCCCCTTGACAGCTCTATAACTTTTATGGAAATGTGTTCCTTCCCCTGGCTGTAAGATGGGAGATAGCATTTCTTGCACCTGCTTTATTACCACATTATTTTGAAATTGCCACTTTGTTTTTGTTCACCTTCCTAGTTAAATAAGGAGAGTGGAACACTTCCTTGTCTTTTGGAGCCATTTTCCTGTGCTTGAAGCACTCTCCAAGGGATAGAATTATTTCCTTAAGTATAACTAGGCAAGGCCCTTGACCTTTGTGCTGGGATACCTTGAAAATCTGTTTAACTTTACTTTTCTTTTGTGATTTGTATAAGGGAGCATTAGAGAGAAAATCTGTTCTATATTTGAAATTTGAATTCATAGCCTACCCAAAGACAATATAATTCTGCCTTTGGCAAAGGCCTGTTAAGAATGATTTTTCATTTCTACTGACAATTGGTACCTTAACATCAATTTGACTATTAGCAAGTCAGTATCTTATCAACTCAAGCACACTTTATGAAATATAGTAAATGATACGTACACATTGTTGAATTCCTTGGGTTAATTCACTATCAAATTCTAAACATTATGTTAGTATAAACTTACATATTAGAATTTTGAATGCTTACATTTTTAAAAGAGTTTGATATAGGATAACTGGTAAACTAATAAAAATTGTGCATTTTGAAGCATTTTGTAACTTTAAAGAGTTTTAGATTAATCTAGCAATTAATATGCTTTTAAATTATTTATTATACAATTTCTACTCTATTACTTTTATGTGTAGTTAGTTTATTTTGTACTAATACAAGGATTTTTGGCTTTTTAATCACTTGAAACATTGCTTTAATTTTTAGTTCCTTTAACAAGCTTAACATTTTGGTATTCCTGCCCTCTAAGATAGTAAATATGTTCTTCAAAGTTCGGAAAGTATCAAAGATTCAGGAATTCAGTAGTGTAACACATAGCCCTGCCCCTTTTCCTTTCCATTGTTCTCATGGCACTCACTGAACCTGAGTGAGTTCCCTAGCTGCTCTGGAGTGTCCCTTTCTGTAAAATGGGAACATTACTGAAATTCCAAGATTATTGTGAGAATAAATGAAATGGTGCCATTACATATTTGAATAACCGTAGCTGATGCGTGGTAGACACTTAATGCCATTGATGACAGTGAGCTGGTGTTGTGGTCATTGGAGTCACAGAAAGGATTAGAAACAGGCTTTTGCCACTTACCTTGTTGAGCTTTCTTCCTTTATACACCAGAAGTTCTCTCTCTCTCTCTCTCTCTCTCTCTCTCTCTCTCTCTCTCTCTCTCTCTCTCTCTCTTTTGTACTGATGACCCATTGACCTAACTACCTGGGGCACCGAAATTATTGATGGTTTTGATTTCTCATAGTCATTAGAATTGGCTCCTTTCTGTCCTTTTCTCCCACTCCTTCCTCTTTCCTCTCCACTTCCTTCTTCCCCCCTCCCCTGTCCTTGCTTCCTCCTGTCTTCCCTCCCTTTCATTTCCCTTTACTTTCTTGTCTGCTCCCTTGAAGTGTGTAAATCCTAAGCTCATTTATAAAGGTCCACAAAGGAAATGTAGCAGGTTCAATGACTTGTGGTGATTAGATATATTATCTGAAAGCTTAGCATGCATTCGTTTCTCCCTTTGTTCTGTCTTCACTGCAGCCTCACAGTTAGCCAAGTTGGCCAGCACTTCACTTTCGTGCTCACTGACATTGACAGCAAACAGAGATTTGGGTTCTGCCGCTTATCTTCAGGGGCCAAGAGCTGCTTCTGTATCCTAAGGTAAGAGAGAAGGCTTCAATTGTCAGCTTTTGCACAGTTCTTCTGTAATTAAGTTTTCCAGCTGTTGTTTTGGTGTCCTATCTGTTCCCCCACAAGTCACTGATCTTGAGGAGAAGGACTTTGCGGTGTTGTTCTTGCACTTGAAGTCCTTGCAGATAATCCTATTTATTTATTTGCATCACATCCCTTGGGTGGAAAGGGCCCCAATGCTCCTGAGTGGTATGCGGAAACTGGAGAGTCAGCAGGGCTTCAGTCCCTCCTGCTGTTATCTGGAGCTGTCAGAAATTAGTCTGTTAGGCTTCCCTGTGGACATTTTGTGTATGTAAGATTATTAATAAAGTATGTGTCTAGCTCAGGACAGCCTACAGACGCTGATTGTATGCTCCTTGGAGTAGCAGCCTTGCCCTCTTTGAGTCAGTGTCTGAATAACTTCCTAACCTGGCTGCCCCTGTGGAAGTTCCATAAAAGTGCATAAGTGTGAGAAGACATCTTTAGGACTGCCGAAATCCCCTTGCACACCAGAGCCATACTTGCTTAATGCTCTGTTTCCTCCTGCCTGAGGGGTAAGACATTCTGGGGTGGGAGGATGTGTGGAAATCCGATTTTGGAGCTGCTGGCTCTCTTGCCTCCTGCTGGGTGCCTCCTGAGGGGGAGGTAAAGGCATCCCACACACTCTCCTCTCCATCTGCCTCTCTTAAGTAGGTGTTGGGCGGGGGTGGCTGCCTCCTTTCTCTATCTGCTGTGGAGCAACCAGTGCAGGGAGCAGGGAGGTGCCCATGATAAAACCTGGGCCCCTGTGTTTGGGCCTGGCCAGGGATAAAAGGCCAGGCCCACTGTAGAGTCCAGAAAGGATGGTTCTCTGCTCTAATAGTCTCTGCACTTTGTTCATCTTCTCAGTCAGTAAAGGACCTTCCCAGTATAACTCACTCCCCAAAGCCAAACTAGGAGAAAAGGGCCCAGCTGATGAAGTTTCTTCGCTCTTGTCAGTGTGGACCACAGTTCTGTTTTTCTAACACAGATCTCAGCATTTTTCTTCCCAGCTGATGAGGTCAACTCCCCTCATCACCAAGCTTAGCATTTTTTGATTGGGCACCAGATGCCTGCTGCACAGAGCCCCCAGGAGGGGTTGGGCAGCTGCTTTGGAGCAGTAACTGTGTGCAACTGTTCTTGAGTAGCCAGTGCTGTGTACTGTCTGCTCAGAAGCTAGACTTGGGTGGTAGTGATTGTTTACTTCTGACTGGGCATACATATTTCTCTTTATTTATTTTTAATTTTGATTTTATTTTTTATTTAGAGGACATCATTTTCTCTTCTATTCCTAGCTGTTGTATTTCAGCCTTGACCAAGATACTGCATATCTACATTGTACGTTTGAAGGAGTGAGAGCTTAGCCCTGGTGTCTGAGTTTGGTAGAAAGGATTGTCCTTGGTTGGTTGTGGTGGTGCACACCTTGATCCCAGCAGAATCAGGTAGATCTCTGAGTTTGAGGTCAGCCTGGTATACATAGTGAGCTCCAGGCCAGCCAAGGCTACATAGTGAGACCTTGTATTAAAACAAAAACAAGCAAATGGAAGGTTTATTCCTTATATATTTGGGAGTTACTTTTTTTTCTTCTCAATTTGGAATCTCTCTCTCTCTCTCTCTGTCTCTCTCTCTCTGTCTCTCTCACTCTGTGTGTGTGTGTGTGTGTGTGTATACACGTGTGTGCATTTTTGTGTGCACATCCAAGCACTCTGGCACTATCATATTCATTAGCAAATTTCTGGGAATGAGAAACCACTTATTTAAAAATGTGAATTTAATGGGCTAACTGTTTAGCTTAGTGTTGCAAGGCTTGCCTGAATGCATAGGTCCTATGTTTGAATCCCCAGCACTACCACCAAAAATGAACAAATAAATATATAAATAAATTCATACTCCTCTGTTTCTACTGTTCAATTTTATAAGTCCAGCATGGATTTTTGTGTTTGTGAGAAGACAAGTGTGGTGGCTAGTGGTTGTCAGCTTGACTACATCTGAAAATAACTCCCAAATGGCTAGACATACCTTTGAGGGACATACCTTTGAGGGATTCTTAATTAAATCATTTGGGTAGGAAGAGACACTTCTAATCCTATCTTTGAGGTGTAAAGGCACAATTTTAGTCTGGCCACACTTTCTGCTGAAAGCCCAGATAGACACGGAAGAAGGAAGCTCTCTTTGCCTATTTACCCCACTGTTTATTCCTTCACTGGCCTTAGTGCCTACTTGTATGGGATTCTGGCATATATTGAAGACCAGGTGAGACATGCAGCCTCGTGGACAGAACAACTACTGGATTCTTAGACCTGCTGTTGGTAGACAGCCATTGTTGGACTAGCTGGACCACAGCTTGTAAGCCATTCTAACAAATCCCCTTTCTATTATGTATAAATTCAATCTTTACATTCTGTTTTTCTAGAGAACCCTGTATAATACAGATTGTGGTACCAGGACTGTGGTTCTAGAGCAGCAGAAGAATAAGGATGAATTTTTAAAGTATCTGGAATAGACTTTCGAATTTGCCTATATCTGCAGTTACTGAAACCTCTACTAGGAGCTTGGAGAGTACTGAAAACCCATGATGTGAACTCTTTTACAAACTTAAGGAGATGAATGCATTTGATTATCCTGATTCACCAATTGTGAGAGGCAATAGAGTTGACTCTGTAAATAAAACGTAAGATAATTTGTGAAAGAATAAGTTAAATGATGCTGCTGCTTGGTTGCTCTTAGCATCTCTAGATAAATTAACAAAGGAAAAGAACAAACTCAGTGATAAAATTAACTGACTTCTAACATCTCAGAATATGGTGAAAGATAACAATCAAGTTGGTGATAAAATTGACTGGCTCTAAATTTGAATAAACAGTCTAAAGTTTTCTGTGTGTGTCCTAGGAGAGGACCTTTCCCAGCAGAAAATCAAACTGAAGCCCTCATTATAAGGTTTGCTGAATTATAGTGAAAATTCCAGTCCCAGCCTTGGAGGGTGTGGGTAGTTAAAGTAAGGGTATTAATTGGCAAAGAATGGGATCCTGTAACTTGGGCTGGAGATACATAAAAACACCCTAATGAGCTGAGAACTTTGAACCCTCAGATCCTCAAGAGCTTGTCTCATCTGAGGAAGTAGTCTTTTCACCATTAGCAAAAGATGTACTCCTACTCCCACCCTCTGAAATATTTCCTTTTCCTCCCTTGACTGAAGAAATTAATCCTTCATCATCTGCTAAACCAGCAGTGACGTTCTCTGAAGAAGATGCCAGGCAAGACAATACTGATATCCCTCAGGGCCCACCAATAGTTTACTCTAGACTGGTGGTTCTCAACCTATGGGTTGCTACCCCTTTGACAAACATCTGTCTCTAGGAATATTTACATTCTGATTCATAACAAAATTACACTTAAGAAGTAGCAATGAAAATAATTTTATGGTTGGGGTCTGCCACAATGGGAGAAACCATATTAAAGGGTCGAAGTATTAGGAAGTTTGAGGACCACTGCTCTAGACCTATAAGCAGACTTGAGGCTGAGCAGGTTCCAAAAGGGGAAGTAGAAAGTGTTGTCCATGAGGAGGTATGCAGCACTTCTAAAGAGCTTAATGAGTTTGTGAATTGATTCAAGCAGAAGTCTGGGAAATATATGTGGGAATGGGCTTTAAAGGTATGAGATAATGATGAAAGGAATATAAAACTAGATCAGGATGATTAGAGATTTTAGGTTTAATACGAAAGCTTGATTAGTTAAAAAAATAGGATGTCAAAAGTCTGAATGGTTGGCTGAAACATTTGTCAAAAGATGGCCTACTGAAAAGGAGTTGGAGATGTCTGATGTCCCTTAGCTTATTGTTAATGAGGGGATTTTAAGACTAAGGAAAGCTAGAGTGGATCCACTGTGGAAAGGGAAGGTCCAGAAGACATGCCCTTTACTAATGTAAAATTATGAGAGGGGCACCAGCACATCCGAAGAGTTTTATTGTCACCCTTTCCCATGTGCCAGGCCTTAAGGTTGGAGATGCTGCTGCTCAGTTGGATTAATTGAATGTAATGTGTTTAATTGGACCCCAAAGTAGCAGGGGCCAGGTGGTAGTGCTGAATTGCCAAAGGCAAGGTGATCATAGTTATTGCAATGGGCAGCGTAGACAAAGCAGTGTTCATAAAGGCCTGACCTGTAATGGTCAGCAAAGGCACAATGGATTTTATGGTGGCATGATTTATATGGACATTTGATACTGATTAATCAGTCATGGTGTTTCCAAGCATGAAATAGATAAGAAGCTTATTGTGTTTTTGTTTAATCTATGTAAGTGGAAAAAAATATTACACATATGGAAGGCTCTGTTGGATCATGACAAAAAGGAAACTTGGCTTGTGAATGAATTTCCAGACTTGATCTGGTTTGCAGACTCAGAACCCCTTGAATGAAGGGATGAACAGCTTCCCCTGAAGAGTTTGACTGTTAGCCTTTCTACAGTTCTTCTCCAGAGGGACCGACGACCTTTTTATAAGAGTAACCATACACTGGGGGAAGGAAAAAAAAATCAGACTTTCAGGGTCTTTTTGGATACTGAATTAGCACTGGTTCTGGAATATCCCAAGAAACATTATGGCCTTCCAATTAAAGTAAGAGCTTATGGAGTTTTGGCTAATGTTCTACTCACAGTAGGTTCAGTAGGTTTCTGAACTCACTGTGTACTTATTTCCCCAGTCCCATAATATAACTGTGATAGATCTATTTAGAAGTTGGCAGAATTCTCACATTCATTCCCGGACCTCCAGAGTGAGGGCTACTATTGTTGGAGAGGCTAAAGGAAAGACTTTAGAGTTGCCTCTGCCAGGGAAAATAGTAAATCAAAAACAGTTTCACATCCCTGGAGCAATTGCAGAAATTAGTACCATCATAAAGATGCAAGGGTGTCCCACCACATCTCCCTTTACCTCTCCTGTCTATCCAGTGCAGAAGTCAGATGAACATGAAGAATGACA